TGAGTGACGGACGCATGGGGGAGTGGTGACCTGACCTCTCACCCCCTCCGCGTCGCTCCTACGGCTGCACCCGCGCCCCCTCGCAGTCGTCGTTCTTCTAGGCTGCACGGGCTCTGGTCAGCTTCTGAAGACGTTGCTCTTCTCCTCCTCCGCCTCCTCCTCCTCCTCCTCCTCCTGCTCCTCCTCCTCCTCCTTCTCCTCCCCCTCCTCCTCCTCCTCCCCCACCTCCTCCTTCCCCTCCTCCTTCTCCTCCTCGCCCCCTTCCTTCGGGGGCCTGTCCTGTCCTGCCTGGCCTGCCTCTCGCTCCGTCGTCGCACAGGATCTGCTGCGCTAGCGGGGTTGGTGCTCCTCGTCGCCCCCGTCCCTTGTTTCAGCGTGTGTGTATATGAGTACCCTCTCTTGCCTGCCGCTTCTCCTCTGCTGCCCTTCCGACCCAGGTGTTGGCACATGACTTACCCTCCTGGCGATGGGAGGAAGCCTGGACCGTCCTCATCCTCCCTGGTCAGTCCCTTCCTCGTGCATTCTCTCCCGCTGCAGGCGCCCTCCTCCTCCTTCCCTCCTCCTCCTCCTCCTTCTCCTGCTGCTCCTCCTCCTCCTCCTCCTACATCCCTCCTCCTTCCCTCCTCCTCCTTCCTCCCTCCTCCTTCTTTCCTTCCCTCTCCCTTCCTCCTTCCCTCCTCCTCCTCCTTCTCCTCCTACATCCATCCTCCTTTTTTTTGTTTCTCCCTTCCTCCTTGCCTCCTCCTCCTCCTTCCCTCTTCCTTCCCTCCCTTCCTCCCTCCTCCTTCCCTCATCCTCCTCCTCCTTCTCTTCTTCTCGTTCCTCATCCTCGCCCCTCCTCCTCCTCCTCGTCCTCCTCCTCCTCGCCCCTCCTCCTTCCCTCCCTCCTCCTCCCTTCCCTCCTCCTCCCGGTCCTCCTGCAGGCGCCCTCCTGGCCCTGCAAGGTCTCTGCTCAAGGTGCTGTGCCCGCGGCCCCGCGGTGCCACCTCGCCACGAGGACACCCACCAGCCAACCAGAAGGCCACCAGCCGGCCGCCCGTCGGGACACCGAGCACGATGCCACCGTGAGGACACCAACCAACCAGCCTCCTCCTCCTCCTCCTCCTCCTCTCCCTCCTCCTCCTCTCCCTCTCCTCCATGCCTAGTTCGTTATAGCTACCTCCCCCTTCTCTGGTTAATTCAAGCTTCGCGCGGCCCGCTTAGCTTCGACCGGAAGAGGTGCGCTCTCGACCCGCGAATCAAAAAAAGTTGGTTATACCAAGGGTTGCCTGGACGCGCGTGCGGGTTTCCTCCTCTCCCTTTCGTCTACCTCCTTCGACACCGCCTGGTTCCGAGGCTTTGCGTCCTCCCGGCCTCGTTCTGAGGCTGCGCCCCCCCTTCTCCTCCCCCCTCTCTGCGTAATTCGAGCTCCGCGCGGCCCGCGTAGCTTCGACTGGAAGAGGTGCGCTCTCGACCCGCGCATCAAACAAAAAAAAACTCTCCCTCTCCTCCCTGCCTTGTTCGTTATGCCAAGGGTGGCCTGGACGCGCGTGCGGACGGCCCCGGCCGCGCCGCGGCGCAGACAGGTTCCCTGCACCGAGCTGCTCCCCGTCGCCAGCCCGCAGACGTGTCCGCGGGGCGAACAGGGCGTCTCGCTTGAGATTTTGCTTCAATGTATGGCCCTGAAGCTTGAACTCTGCAGTCGTTTCAAGGATGGAGGGCGGGCCGTCTTTTGAGTGGGGCTCTCGCCTTTTAGTGCCGCGCGCATTCGCCGTAAACTTTTGCAGCAGTTTCAGGGGTGGAGGGCGGTTTCTTTTCAAAGCGGGGCTCTGGTCTTGGTGCCGTGCATATTCGTTTTCAAAGTCTGGAGCAGTTTCAAGGATGGAGGCGGGGGAGGGGTGTCGTGTCCAAAATGGGGTTCTCGCCTTAGCGCCGCGAACGTTCGCTGTAGACGCCTGCAACCGTTTCAATGGTGGAGGGCGGCTCCTTTTCCAATGAGGGCTCTCGCCGTAGCGCCGCGCACATTCGTTGCAGCCGTCTGCAACCGTTTCAACGATGGAGGGCGGCTCCTTTTTCAAAATGAGGGCTCGCGCGTCAGCGCCGTGCTCAAGGGTGCAGGGCGGCTCCCTTTTCAAGTGAGGGCTCGCGCATCAGCGCCGTGTGCGGCATTCGTCTTGCAAGCGTGCAGCGGGTCCACGGACGAGCCGCGGGTCGTCTTCGGCACGGGGCTGCCTCGCGGCAGCGCCGCGCCCGCTCGCCCTCCAAACGTGTCCAGCCGCCTCGAGAAGGGAGGGCGGCTCCTCGTCAAAACGGGGCCCTCGCCCCAGCGCCGCGCACGCTTTTGTGTTTGTTTGGTTGCTGCTTCTTCTATGTAACATTCACATCTTAAGTTTATAACAAACAGCAATTTATTGTAATGCTGCTATATATATATATTACACATGTAGATTTATGTACACTATATATATATATATATCTAAAAGTATATATGCATGTATGCATGTATGTATGTATGTATGCATGCATGCATGCATGCATGCATGCATGCATGCATGTATGTATGTATGTATGTATGTATGTATGTATGTATGTATGTAGGCACGCATGCATGCATGCATGCATGCATGCATGTATGTATGTATGTATGCATATATGTATGTATGCATAACTGCATGTACGTATGTACGTATGTACGTATGTATGCATGTATGTATGTATGTATGCATGTATGTATGTATGCATGTATGCATGTATGTATGTATGCATGTATGCATGTATACATGTATGCATGTATGCATGTATGCATGTATGCATGTATGCATGTATGCATGTATGCATGTATGCATGTATGCATGTATGCATGTATGCATGTATGCATGCATGCATGCATGCATGCATGCATGCATGTATGCATGCATGCATATGTATTACTTGGTAGTTGTAGCAGTTACTGGGATGGTGGGCGGCTCCTCTTTCCAAGGGCGGCTTCCGCTGGCCGGAGCTTTCTCCAAGCCGAGGGCCAGGCGCTCGAACACACGGGGGCAGCTGCACGGATGCAGGGCGACTTCTCTGCAGCATGGGGCTCTCGACTCCTCACGGTCGGAAGGGGACACTTCGCTCCTCCTCCTCCTCGTCCTCCTCCTCCTCGTCCTCCTCGTCCTCCTCCTCCTCCTCCTCCTCGTCCTCCTCCTCCTCGTCCTCCTCGTCCTCCTCCTCCTCCTCCTCCTCCTCGTCCTCCTCCTTCTCCTCGTCGTTCTCCGCCTCCTTCTCCTCGTCGTCCTCCTCCTCCTCCTCCTCGTCCTCCTCCTCCTCCTCCTCCTCCTCCTCCTCGTCTGGGGGGGCAGCGTCGGGCGGGGGACGGGCTCCAGGGGGGGCGGCATCCGCCCGGAGCCGGCGAGTGCACCGCCGAGGGGTCGGTCGGCGGCGGAGGCCCCTGGGGACGACGCCGCGTGCCGGTCCCGGGGTGGGCTGGGCCCTTCGCCGAACACTTCGCTGAGTTGTGTGAGCATACCCTTTGCGCAGTCCAGATCCCAGACATCGGGCGTCTCGAAAAAATCGAGACGGAGGTTTTTCGTCATTGTTGGCCTCTCTGGACCTTCACCGGGCCTCGGGACCGTCAAAAAACGACTCGGGATGAAGAACCGGTCCCAGGGAAGTGGTCGGGAGGTCGGGGGCCCGCGTCTCGAAAAAATCGAGACGTCGGATGTCTGGGATTGTCGGGGGCGGAAGAGAGGGGGGTGATGACCACGGGGGGTGGACATCATGGCGGGGGCCATGAGATCTCCCCAGATTTCATGGCGCCTCTTCACATTTCGTTACGCCCCTGGCCCCCCCCGCTGGGCCGCGCACGTGCCGCCGGTCATGATTTGCACCCTCCCCCTCTTGGACGCCCCCCTCTTGGCCGCCCCTGAGAGTTGTATGATCATACCTTTTTGCGCAGTCCAGATTGCTTTCGGGGAGGATGCACGGCAGTCGGGTCCTTTTTGGAACGGGCTTCTCGCCATAGTGGCAGGCCCATCGGGTGCGGTCCGTTCGGGAGAGCGCGCGTCCTCTTGTGGAAATGACGGCCTGCAGGGACCCACGGGCAGGAAATTGGGGACGGGAGAGTGCATGGCAGCATCGTTGATGCGTGGAATTGCTCTGCTCCTTTCCTCCGTGTTTCCCTCCCCTCCCCTTTCTTTCCCTCGTCGTCATCTTCCTCCTCCTCCTTCCCCCTCCACCTCCTCCTCCTCCTTCCTCCTCCTCCTCCTCCTCCTCCTCCTCCTCCTCCTCCCCGTTTCCTTCCCGTCTCCTTCCCGCCGCCGCTGGAGCGAAGGCCCCTGCCGCCAAGCGCTCGTCCGTGGGCTCAGCCCGCCAGGCGCTGCCTCCGCCCCCCTCCTTCTTCCGCGGGATGCGCGGGTTAGGCGGGGGGGGAGGAGGGCTGTGGAGGGCCGCTCGGGAAGCGACGAGGGATACACCGGGGATGGGGACGGAGGGAGGCACGGTCGGCGGCGTGCAGGATCGGGGGGCGAGGACCCGGGGGGAGGGGGAGGATCGAGGAGTTGGGTGCCTGGTCTAGTGGCATGATTCTCGCTTCGGGTGCGAGAGGTCCCGGGTTGAATCCCCCGGAGCAGCCCCATGCCTGCGCCCTTGGCGGCGGGGGAAGCTGCATGGCGCGCGGCGCCAGCGTCGGAGGATCGAGGGTTGGGGAGCTCGAGGCTCTGGGTTTTCGGGCGTTTCTGCTGGTTTCTGGTGTCTCTCTGCCTCGGGATGCCGTCGGGGGCGGCTGCTTGGGGGCCTCTTGGGGCCTCCAGGGGGACCTTGAAGGCGTGCTGGGATGCCCTCTCGGGGCCACTCGGGGCCTCCTGGAGACGTGCGGGGGCCTCTCTCGGGAGCTCGCTGGGCCGTCCTGGGGCGCCCCTTCGGCCGTCTGCCGCCTTCGGAGTCCGGCGTACCTCTTCCACAGTTTTTTGGCTCAGCCGCCAGGCTGTTTTTTCTGTTGGCCGCCGTGGAGAGCCGCGGCCGCGCTCGCCTTTGCCGCCATGGGGGGTGGAGTGTCGAAGGGCATGCAGGCGGAGGAGGATGAGGATGACGATGCGGGGGCGGAGGAAGCCAAGCGGGCGGACGAAGAGTGGAGGGGCAGGAGGAGGAGGAGGAGGAGGAGGAGGAGGAGGAGGAGGAGGAGGAGGAGGAGGAGGAGGAGGAGGAGGAGAGGAGAGGAGGAGGAGGAGGAGGAGGAGGAGGAGGAGGAGAGGAGGTGCGTTCGAGGAGGAGGAGGAGGAGGAGGAGGAGGAGGAGGGCCAGGGCGAGACTTGGTATCCACTGGAGGCTCCCCTGGTCAGCCCGCTTCTGCCCCACCTTTGTTTTCAGGCGGGCGTCAAGACTGCGTCCCCGGCCGAGCTGCAGCAGGCGGTGGGTGGGCTGGACGCCGCCGAGAAGGCGAAGCTCCTCGACGCTCTGAAGGTCGACGACGTGCCCAAGGCACCCACTTCGATCACCGTGTACTACTGGGGCCCCACGGTCATGAACGCGTACGGCCGCGCCATCGGCATCTACCTGACGCTCGACCAGGCCGGAGTCAAGTACGACATGAAGGGGCCCTCAGATATGCCCGAGGGTTGCGCCATGGCCGTTCCCGTGATCGACATCGATGGGTTTTGCATGGGCCAGTGCCCCGCTATTCTCGTTGCGCTTGGCGAGATGTTCCAGCTGTCTGGGAAGACCCCCGAAGAGAAAATGCGATGCCTCCAAGCGCTTGAAGACATGAACGACGTCTTTGGTGAGCGTGTCAAGATCTCCGAGGACGCCGAGCGCAAGAAGAAGTGGTTCACGTACCTCGACAAGAAGATTCAGGACAAGAAGTGGCTCGCGGGGACGTGCGAGCCGACAGTCGCAGATTTCCATGGCGTCTTCGCCTTCGAGACCCTCAAGACGAAGAGCGTGGACTTTTCCGAGTATCCGAACATGACCAAGTGGTGGGCAGACATTCAGGCGTACCCAGTGGTCGCAAAGATGTACGAGTCGTTGGTGGACGGGCGGGTGATGATCCCCCCGTGA